AAAGCCAAGCAGGAAATTTGAACAGAGATATATAGAGAGAGTAGGCAGCGTCAAAGAGACGCCATGTAGCTGCCGAAGGAGAAAGATTCCAGAACATTATTGTTAAGCCACAGCCTTGTAACAATATATAGATGAATAGAAATGAGTTAATTTAAGGTGTAAGAGCTAGTTAGGAATGTGCCTGAGCCATTGGCCAATCGGTGTTGTAATTAATATAGTTTCTGTGTAATTATTTGGGTCTGGGCGGCTGGGAAATGAAAGTGCAGTCTCTGTTCACAGTAAGGCTGCTGGGAAAGGCTAATGACGGGGCAGGTGAGGTAGATCAGCAGGAAAAGTACCTTGCACTATGCCCAGTGACCTATGTCTTAGTTAGATTCCTATGGCTGTGAAAACACCACGACCAAAGCAGGTTGGTGAGGAAAGGGTTTAATTGACTTATATTGAAGGAAACCAGGAAAGGAGTTCAGGCAGGAACCTGGAGGCAGGAACGGAAGCAGAGACCATGGAGGAGTGCAGCTTACAGGTTTGCCTTCTGAGGCTTGCTCAACCCAGGACTACCTGCCCAAGGTTGGTATCACTCACACTAGGCTGGCCCCTGATTTATCAGTCATTAAGAAAATGCCAAACAGACTTGTCTAAAGGTCAATCAGATGGAGGCATTCTTTCAAATGAGGTTTCCTCTTCCCAGCTATGTCTAGGTTTGTATCAAGTTGACAAAAAAAAACCAACCAGCATACTTGAGTTTGGTCCTTGGAACCCATCTGGTGGAGGCAGAGATCCTACTCCTGAAAGTTGTCTTAGAGTTTTTATTGCTGTGAAGAGACACCATGACCACAGCAACTCTTATAAGGAAAACGTTTAATGGGAACTGGTTTACTAACATCATGGTGAGACCGAATTACTGGAAAGCAAAGTTGAGTGAGGGGATCTGCCCTCCTCATGCTCTTTCCCACAGAGGTTGCCGCTTTGAAGGAAGCTTGCTGCTGCTCAAACAAGGAACAAGATGTGACATGAGCCATCTTGCCTTCCAGCGACTCCTTAAAAAGCCTGATATAAATTTCCAGCTCTACAAAACAATTCTCTTGACCTCAGAGCTCTTTTGGACTCCGTTATTTCCAACTTAATCCTTTCATCCCGCCCCACCCTGGATATATTTAAATGGCCTGAGCTCAAGCCTGGCTTTCCTTTCTCGTCTGTCTGTGTATCTTAGTGACGGTCACATGCTCACTTGGAACGGGTGTCCTCCCCCACCTCCCTTTATCGGTACTTCATGAAATCAAGGGTAGAGTGTAAGCAATTTACCTACAGTACACACAAGGCCAAGGTGAAGCCAGGAACTTTCTTCCTATGATCTACTCTTGGACATGTTAAAGGAAACATGTGCTCCACTTGTTCTGTGTGACACAGAAAATATAAAACGGAACCCTGCAGAAATCCTTCTGAAGCGCCCTGACCATCCCTGCCCACAGGGGCCTTTGCCTGGCTTTAGTACCCTGCACCCCACTTGGCCCCACCCAACCCTTTTCAGGGAAGCTTTCCCACTGTGGGAGCTCACAGTAAAGTCTGCTTACTTCATGCAAATGGACTCCACCTGCCACATGGGCTCCAAACCACTCACAAAGTGCAGTTTTTATCATATGGAGGGTTTACCCTACATTCCCAGTTAGACAGTAAAACAAGATGGACACATGTCTGACTTCTCTTTAAACTGCCCGACAGGGCACACCAGCAGAGATGGCCCTCTGAAAAGGTCTGTGTGTGAGTGGCAACCGTCTCTATCCTGGAGTGGCTACTAATACTGACAATGGGGTTGATCATGTTCTTTCTCGAGTATAGAAGGCATGCTATTCCTTGAGGGGACGTGACCCCATACCTGGGACCTGTCAGTTGTATTGTTTTATCTCAGAGGCTTCTGTGAATGACAACACCAGGGAGTGACACATGAGCAAAGTCCTTATTATGGAGACTCAGTCTGCTGCTAAATCCCAGACTCTCTGTTCAGCTTCCAGGGAGCACCAAGCCTCAGACAGTTCTTTTAATTGCATTTGGCAAAAGGAGTCCTCGTAAAAATATACTAGCAAGCTATTCAAAATAACATTATCAAAATAGCAGGCAAAGGAGAAAGGAAAAAGGAATGCCCCAAAGAAGGCTTAGCTCAAGCACCAGTGCGGAAAAGGAAGTCAATTCTGTTTTCTCCAAGCTTCTGTTAGCAACACTGGGGCCTTGAAAAACGGAGAGGTGGGAGGCGGAACGGTGGCTCAGGCCTGGCAGCTACGTTTATGTATTCACACGTTTGCACGTTCTGAGTAACTTTTACAAGTTTGTGAGCGGCCAGAATATGAGTATTTTTCTCCTCCCTTTATTATTTTTCTTTTTATTTATGTATCCATTTGTTGTGCTGGGGATGGAACTCGGTGCTCTGTGGACACTAGGCAAGCGTTCTTACCTCTGCCCTGATGTGGTAATGCCTTAATGGTGACTCCCTGGGCCTGGGCTGGAACTCTGTTCTGTCATGTTTGCCTGACACCCATGGGGTCTGTATTCAATCCGCAGCACTGATAGATAAAAAATAATTGAGTCTTCTCTGATTTTACCTTTCTTTTTTTTTTTTTTTTTTTTGGTTTTTTTGAGACAGGGTTTCTCTGTGGCTTTGGAGCCTGTCCTGGAACTAGCTCTGTAGACCAGGCTGGTCTCGAACTCACAGAGATCCACCTGTCTCTGCCTCCCGAGTGCTGGGATTAAAGGCATGCGCCACCATCGCCCAGCTGATTTTACCTTTCTATACATCTTTCTTTTGGGGAAAACCTGAAGCTTTCCCTGTATTCTCCACAAGGTAAGACAGGACTTCCTGCCTGCTCGTCTTGAGTTTAGCAGGTGAAATTTGAACACCCCTATTCCAAGTGTGTCTCCAGGTCTCCAGTTTTGAAGGTGCTTTTTTTCTTCTTATTTCATAGCAGAACAAAGCAAAAAAAAAAAAATCCCTATGCCTTTTAATGGTCTCAAAGTTAACCCTCTCAAAAAATTAAAGGCATTTCCAAAATAAATGCAGACAGCATCTAAAAGCTAACCTTACCTAATGACTCCAGGGCCTATGGAACTTGTCAAGGTTTCCAGAATTGCTCTTGAGAGCTTGGGACATCTGCAGTCCTCACAGGAGTGGGGCTGCCAAGTCTGGGGAAGCGTTAGCTCTTTGGTTTGCTTCATTAAGAACGCACCGTCTCCCTCAGGTCCTACAAAGCCCACCAGAAGCATTTAACTGGTTCTTGTGCCGAGAGACAGTCCTCTGGACAGTTAATTAGGAGTGGTACCTTTTCCAGGCTTGGAGAGTTTTGCACACTGCTCAGCGGAGTGTCTGCTACACTCCTTGCAGAAAGAAGAAATGCTGCGTAAGCTTAGGAAGGTTCCCACAGAAAATAATAATTAAAATATTGATCTGATAAGTAGGGATAGCACGTGGAATAAAGTTGTTGAAGAAGTTAGGCATCTTGTTAGTTAAATGAGATAAGGGTGGAGCAGGGTTACAGACCAATAGTCATTTCTAAGAAGATGACACGTCAGCCATGATCAGTAAATAATGACTGTCGCTAGGATACTATTAATGTATCTGTTTATCACTGCCAAGGGAAGTCCTCCTGGGGATGCTGTGAGGGACCAGCATTAATCCAAGACCAAGACCCGGCATGCACAGCTGCTCACCACAGGGGTGCTGGGCCACGGCAGCACCCACTCAGTCTCCGCAGTCTCTGGGCCTTCACACAGCATCCCTTTCCGTGACCGTCACTGCATGTGCACATACGTGTCTTCGCTCATGTATGAATGTTTGCAAAAACCCCTCGGCTGCTCCCTCAGGGTGAAAGGCCTAGCAAGAATTTATGCTCTGTCCGCTCTCCTGGAGAATGCGGAGAGGCTTATCCGTTTCACTTGCAATGCCTTCCTCCCACTACTTCCTCCTACAAGGGGAACGAATAGTTCTGTGTGTCAGGAGGTGTTGCTAAATTTCCTTTCCCGAGGGAAACAACAATGTCTGTCCCTCTTTCTAAGGTACCAGTGACAAAACAAGGCATGATTCTGACAAAATTCACTCTTGAGGACCAATGAGTCTATCGGGTTTAGTCACAAGCATAGGCAAAGGGTTATTTGCAGGAGTGTGGGGACCCTCAACCACAATAAAAGGCCACAGCTGCAGAGCTGCCTAGACGGAGCTTCTCCTAGCCTTTCCCTGGCCACATATGGTGAAGGCAGTTTCACACAGCATGTGGTAGGAGCAGCTGGATACTCAGGTGAGGGTCAGTTCCTTAACTGAGTGAAAAGCATGAAAAAGACCAGCTAGAACGATCCTTTCAATCCTTTCGCAATGGACCTCCTCAAGGTGGCAGTGGTGTGGCTTTCCTCAGAGACTCCTGTGTCTCTAACATTTTGCCTCTGTCCTGAGGCCCACGATTCTGCTTATGGTTAAAACTTTCAAAAACACAGATGGAAAACTTTTCTTCCTTCCTCTTCCCCCCATATGCAAAAAATGTCTCTTTACTGAGCTCTAACCCAGCCAATCACTCCCGGGGCAGGTCTCTTCTACCGCAAGCCACTCTTCCTCTGCAGGCTTCCTTTCCTTCCTCAGCTGATGGCAGGCTTCCTCCCTCCGAGCCTGACCTGCAGTGATCTCTTCCTTGCCCACTAAACTCCAATTTTTCCTGTGGGTCCAAATCTTAGGTTTTGGCATCAGACACCCGGCTGACTCACTCCTTCCCTAATCTCAAGACCGGGTTAAAGGCCCATATTGTGGTTTTGTAGACACAGACGCCACGCTCAGAGTGTCCCCTGTCATTATGGAATGCTGCCTGCTTCCTTCACTAACTTACCAATGCCAAGACGGAGGGATTTTGTTTTTTTTTCTGTTTTCATCATTCAGTGCCTAGCTAGCAACATGAACAGGCTAAACCCTTTATAATTATCGGGCACCCCCCCTCTTTATTACAATCGTTAGTCACCAGGTTTGAACTTACATTATTTGTGAGATTCCTTACCCCCACAACTGAGAGGAGGGGAAATCAATCTGTTCTTCTAAAGGGTCAATGTGATTTCTCCAACAATAATAATTTGGATCTGGAAAACAGTGGTCAAATCTGGAATAATAATAAAACATAACAACAACAACAACAACAAAACAACCCAATTGGATTGAAAGCTAAAATGCACAGCTCAAGTTCAAACAGACGTTATAAAAGGTTCCTCACCTGTATGGCGGGTCTGACTTGCATGATGTGCACACGGTTCAGGAATGAAGAATCAGGCTTTAAAAAACTTGTTTTACCTGCTCACAAGACCTCTCCTTCCATTAGTAGGAGTCAAGCTTAACCTTTGTACTTATGCAATCGCCTTTTGGCTCAGGCCATACTTTCTTCTGACAGCCATTCGGATTCTGTAGGATTTACACTTCTCCCAGTATTACCTCTAGGGGCTTATCCACATGGTAGACTCATGGATGGAATAATTTGGATCTGGAAAACAGTGGTCAAATCTGGAATAATAATAAAACATAACAACAACAACAAAACAACCCAATTGGATTGAAAGCTAAAATGCACAGCTCAAGTTCAAACAGACGTTATAAAAGATTCCTCACCTGTATGGCAGGTCTGACTTGCATGATGTGCACACGGTTTACAACACCCCGTAAAGCACTCTGGGGCCTGGAAGGTGGACTCCCAGATCCTCTTTGGGGAAGAAGGGTTTCTCGTTTGCTCCCATGGCAGCTCACAAATGGTTTCCTCGCAGGGCTGAGTCATCTCTTTTGCAATGAGGAACACAGGTGTCAGTCAACAGCCTCCCGCAGTGACAGCACCTTCACTGAGGAGTTTCAGGGCTTACCAAGAGGAAGTCAGGGAGTAGATGCCCTGCCCCTCCCCTTTTCTTCAGTTTAGGAGGACTGTCTGGACCTCCTCGTTTGGTTCTTACATCTCACAAACACAAGATCACACCAGGAGCCTGCCATGCACTCAGTATTCTCTGGGGAGATCAGAGGATTTTACAACTGCCCCAGCTTTCAAAAAGCTTCTGAGAGTTGACAACTAAGAACAAAATAAGTAAGCATGGGATGAAGAGGGGGATGTGGGATTTCCCTCTGTGTGCTGTGAACGTTTTATTACCATTGGTTAAAGAAGCTGCTTTGGGCCTATGGCAGAGCAGAATAAAGCCAGGCAGGAAATCCAAACAGAGATATAGAGAGAAAGTAGGCAGAGGGAAGGAGACGCCATGTAGCTGCCCAAGGAGACAGATGCCAGATCCTGACGGATAAGCCATAGCCTCGTGCCAATACATAGATGAAGAGAAATGGGTTAATTCAAGATCTCAGAGCTAACTAGAAAGACGCCTAAGCTATTGGCTGAACAGTGTTGTAATTAATATAGTTTCAGTGCGATTATTCGGGTCTGAGCAGTCTCCGCCTACAAAGTGGGGAATCCAATCCTTTGGTTCTTTCCAACACATCAAGCCAAGGAGGGGACTATCTGAACGTCAATCAGGTGACGGCATGAAGATGACCATGCCATTACCTAGCACGTTCTTCTCCAACCCATCACTAAGCCACGCTCCCTGCTTTACTTGGAAGGGACTCCAGGCTCTTCTTTTATCCACTGGTCACAGCCTCCCATTGACTTACCTGCTCTGTGCCATGTTTTCTTCAGGGAGCCCTCTGTGCAGCAGAGGCCTGAGTCCAGTTCTCCACTGCCCGTGAAACTGAAAGCTGATGTCCACTTCCCAACTCTGCCTCGTCTCAGGGAGCTGGAGCCCTACTGGTTCAGTGGAAGTGTTCCCCTCTCCACCCCACCCCCTTTCTGTTCCTTTTTTCTTTTCTTGTTTTTATTGTGCTATACGTTTTTCTCCACTCCCCTCCCTTCCCCCCCCCCATCACCTTCTATCCTCTCCCCTGACCCCCGTGCTCCCATGTAGATTAGATACGTTCTCTTTGTCATCTAGGTTCTCTGGGGTTGTGGGTCGCAGGCTGGTTTTTCTTTGCTTTATGTCTAAAAGCCACTTATGAGTGAGTACATATGATATTTGTCTTTCTGGGTCTGCATTCCTCTTAACCTGGAAAGTATTTGCCTGGACCACTTTACTTTGATTTCCCTTCTCTCTTTGCTTCCCCCTTCCAGCTAATCTGCCTCCTATATAGCGAAAAGGTTTGCAATAAGGACTCAGGCTCCATAGGGGCAGGCAGGAAACATGAAACCCATAGGCACTGATTACACACCCTCCTGTTTTAACCTGAACTAAACACTTCTGCTAAGTCGTTCAGAAACAGCACACAGTGAAGAATGTCCTAAATGTATCATGAGATTTATTCTTGGTTGCTAAGAAATAAAAAACAATGTTGAAACAGCAAGAGTTTATAAAGTAAGAACAATTAAGATAAAACATTTATTTTTAGACCAGACTAACTATAAGTAATTTTCTCTTGAGAGACAAATGGGATGTCAAGAACTCTTTTAGGTCCATGATTGAGCCAAATTAAAATTACATATCAAATCACAAAATGCTTTTTAATTTAAATAGTCCATGTTTAATAATAAAAGAAACCTCTAAAATATTAATACATTTTAAGACTCAACTATTACTAAATCTCAGAGCAGAGTAAATCAGCAATAGAAAAGAAAATGCTTTGTTAAATTATTTTCTTCTAACCCTGTAATTTCTAATTGTATAATTGGCAGATTAATAGTTTACAAAAAATCATTATGCTTTGTATTTTTATGAAATACTTTACAAGGGGAGCTAAATTAGGTATAATAAGTTAAATAAATATGCTACTTAAAACTGAACTGTAGAAAAACTGACATAATGTTAAAATCTCACACAGAAGCTATTTTTAGATGGTGGTTAGGTAATTTACTGCAGTATTTTAATGTAATATTTAGATAAAACTTTCTCTAACAACTTTAATAAAAATTTTAGAGAAGAAAAAATTGAAGGAAGACAATTAATATCACAACGTGCTGAAAATAAAATTCAGCAAAATTAGATTAAAAGCCGAGCTGTTGTAATTAAAAAAACAAAAACAGGCATCATAAATTTCTTTTTGGTAACTCTATGTGCATCTTCAATTGGCTTGAGAGTTAACCACATTCAAATATAAACATAAGTTTTATCAGTGTTTCCTTCATGTGTCTTCCCATTGAACAAGCACACACTATAATACCAGAAGGACCTGTATCTCCTGGTCCCAGAAGACAGGAAGCCCTGCAGAACTGGCTTTTCACCTGACTTAATTTGACAAGTAACTTGAAAGCAGCAGAGATACATTGTGCATTGTCTTGGTGCACAGGCAGGTTACAATAAAAACAAGTTATTTTTGTTTCTTAGACTACATAGATAAAGTAATATATTCTAGAACATGATCTGAACTTAAAAACAAAGAAAATGGAAACCAGCAATTTCATGCATGTGAGTCGGTCGGCTGAAGAGTTCTTTCACACAGACCTATGTCCCTGTGAAGTACAAAGCCTCTGAGCGCAGTTTACTCTCCCCAAACCTGCTCAGAGGAACTTTGCCATTTTACTTAGTCATTATTTGCCAGGGAGCCTTGCTATTCAGATCAAAGGCTGTCGCAATTAGAAAGGATTATTAGATTCTCTCTTTCCTTATTTAATTGATACTTTCCTTTTACATTCCTTATGTAATAAGATGCAGCAGGCAAAGTTCCTACTCCGCAGATGTATAATACACGACTATTTAGGTGACAAAGCATTAATAAAGTTTTCAAGGTCTGCTAAAGAATCGTGAAGTTCATCTTTCATATCTTGACTTCTAAGGAACTTTTTAAGGGTTCCTATAGCTTCGATTGCGTCGTTCTTGGATGGTAAGGGTAGGTCCGCTTCTAGAGCTCCGCTGTCCTCTTCCTCTTCATCAGAAGCATAAAAAACAGTTTCATCTTGTTTACTTTCTTTGGTACACTCCTCATCATCATTTGGGGTGGCTTCGCAGGTCTCCAGATCCTCGTCCAGGGCAGCATACTCCTCTATGGACAAACCTTCAGGAAGCTCCACCCCTGCCCCCAGAGCAGGGGCAGCCAGGTCTAGAGGGGCAGCTTCACTCTCTGCACTGTTGGTTTCCAGCGCTGGAGACCTGAATCCTGCCTCTTCATAGCTTTTCACAATGGTCTCTGGGGTTACAGCTCTCCAGCACAGATGCAACGTATCAACCGCGTCTAGTAGAGAAAATGTAAATTCTTTGCTACTTTCAACAGAACTTAAAAATTTCTTGATAAGACAGTGCCGATATTTGATTTTCAGGCTTTTAATAACACCTTGTTTCATAGCGACAAGCCCGGAAGACAGGCACGGTGGGAAGATTGCTAACTCAATGGACTTTAGGTTTTTCACCTCTGGATGTGCGGGACAAGAATCAACAAAAATCACCACTCTTCGTTGCTGGGCTTGAAATTTCTCGTCGAGCTGATGCATCCACTGTTCGAATATGGCTGCAGTCATCCACGCCGTTCTGTTCGCTTCATAATACACAGGCAGGGACTTTATGCCTTTGAAACAACGCGGAGTTCGGTTTTTCCCAATAACGAGCAAAGGAAGCTTCTCTGAGCCGTCCATGTTTGTTCCGACTGCCAGCGTTACCCTGTCTTTGCACAGCTTTCCAACTGAGCAAGTCTCTCCTTTATAAGCAAATGTGTTTGTAGGTAACATTCGATAAAGCAATCCGGTCTCTTTTACACTGAAAACATTCTTAGGATGATAATCATTTAAGTAATAAGGCAGCACGTTTTGGTACCAGACAGTGGCAGGGTCTGTAGATATACCAGTGGCTTCTACGGGCTGTGCTCGGAATACTAAGCCGTACCTGGACTTGAAACGATCCAACCAACCATTGCTGCACTTAAAGTCATTGTGTCCCAGCTTCTGAGCAAAATCATTAGCTTTTAGACGTAACATTGGCCCATTAACGGGAACATTGAGACACTGGGCAATCCGATACCATCTCATCAATGCCTCTTCCAGATCCGTATAAAACGCCGTTCTCAGTCTTTTTCTCTTTGGATCAAATCTCAGAGACTCAAAGGCTTCCAGAACTTTGTCTTTGTTTTTCATAATGGAAGACAAAGAATTTTTCTTTATTCCATATTCAGCTGCAATCTCGGCCTTTTTCTTGCCACTCTCCACTGCATTTATGATGTCAATCTTTTCCTCGATGGACAGACTCTTCTTTTTCTTCCCAGTTACTGGCTGAGTCACAGGATCCACAGGAGCCTCGGCCATCTCAGCCCCTCTCTGAGCTCCTGGTACAAGTTGCTGTGACCAGTTTTGGCTTTCAGTGCGATGTGGACCACGGCTTTCTATCTATCATTTCTTGTATTAAAGCTGGTAAGTATCAGTAGTCTAACTCTTTAGGAAACAGACAACTGGACGTATCTTTCAAAGTCTGAAGCAAAGTCTGTAAGCGATTAAAAGAGGCGCCTCCTTCCTAGGGTCTTGTGCGGTTCAATTTATAGTTCCTCGGAGTTCCAGAAGTCAAGCTAAAATAGGAATCTCATTATGTCAAACCTGCCCAGTCCTGCTAATGTA